AGAAAGCTTACGTAGAAGGAGAGTAGTTCAAAGCTAGCTCAGACAGAAAAGTCTGAGATTCTTATCTCCAACTCACGATCAAAAATCCAGAAGCAGAGCTATGGCTCAAAGGTCAGAGAGTGGCAGCCTTAAGCAAAAAGGCCAAGTGAGGGCACGAGGCCCTGAGCTCAAGACCTAGTGCCAGCACACACCAACAAACTAAACTGCCACCACCCCCACACAAAAGATGAATGTTGGGCTGGGAAGGTGGCTCAGTGGTAGAGTGCTTGCCTTGCATGCATGAGGCCCTGGGTTTGATTCCTCAGCACCACATAAGCAGAAAAAGCTGGAAGTGGTGCTGTGGCTCAAGTGGTAAAGCCCTAGCCTTGAGCTGAAGAGCTGAGGGACAGCGCCCAGGCCCAGAGTTCAGGCCCTGTGACTGGCCAAAAAACAAACAAACAAACAAAAGATGAATGCTCTACAATGTGAATTTCATCTTAATAAAGCAGTTTTGCTTTTAAATTTGAAAACTGTATCCTCTGACATGGAAAAATTTGTTTTGTTTGGCAGTGACTGGATGCCTAGGACTAAACTTCAGGGAGAGGGAAAATAACACACTATTTCCTCACTATTTCCTTTTACTGGGAATCAGTTCTCCAAAATAACTTTAGGATTAGGTGAAGGCTTCACATGCATCTTCCTCGTTTTGCTGTCTGTTTTGTTGCTGTTGTTTTTCAGACAGGGTCTTGCTATATATAGCTCAGGCTGTCCTAGCTAACCTTGAATATGCAATCCTCCTACCTCAACTTCCCCAACATTGGGATTAAAGATGTGTGCCACTACATCTAGCTCCTATACACCTTTCATTTGAAGTAGCACTTCAATCTACTTGTAAAGTCTTAAGAAAATAACCTTTTTAAAACCATTAATTTCTTTGAATACATAATGTGTAAAGAAGCCATTCCTTTTCCATAGTTAAAAAATGAAAATAAAGAAATAGATAACAGATCTAGGGCATAGAGTGATGAGTTGATCTCATTTCTACTTTTATGCTCCAAGCATCTAATTTCCATGACATAGGACGACAGATAAAAATGCTATCTGAGAGCTGGTGGCTCACATCTGCAATCGTAGCTGACACATATGAGGATCATGGTTTGAAGTCAGTCCGGGCAGGAAAGTCCATGAGACTTACCACCAAAAAGCCAGAAGTGGGAGCTGTGGCTCACATAGTAGGATGGGATAGTACCCACACCCTGACTTTAAGCCTAGTATGGAAACACACACATACAAAAAAATGCTATCTTAGAAAAACATGTGTTTATATGTGTGTACATTTTTGCATAATACAAAATGCTCTAAATACTTTACTGAACTCTATTTTTCTGCTTGGTTCTTTGTGTTTGTTGGTTTGCACAGTCTTGCTATGTAGCCTAGGCTTGTCTTGAACTTGTGATGTAGCCCAGCCTCAAACTTATGTATTCTCATGCTTCTGAAATTACAAAAATATGCCAGCATTCCTGGCTTCTACTTCATATTCCTTGAAGCCCTTGTCATATTTGCTCTTACAGAGCTCCCTTACTTAGCAATTCCACAGCATTTGACTCTATGGATGTACTATAACTTATAATCATCTACTATTTATAAGCTATAAGTAGTTTCTGGTTTGGTTACTTTTTTTTCCTGGGGCTTGAACTCAGGGCCTGGGCACTGTCCCTAAGCTTCTTTTACACAAGGTTAGCACTCTACCATTTGAGCCACAGTGCCACTTCTAGCTTTTTCTGAGTACTTTATTGGAGATAAGAGTCTCATGATCCGGGTGCTGGTGGCTCACACCTGTAATCCTAGCTACTCAAGAGGCTGAGATCTGAGGATCACAGTTCAAAGCCAGTCTGAGCAGGAAAGTCCATGAAACTCTTATATCCAATTAACCACCAGAAAACTAGAAGTGGTGCTGTGGCTCAAGTGGTAGAGCACTTGCCTTGAGCTGAAGAGCTCAGGGACAGCAACCAGACCCAGAGTTCAAGCCCCACCACCGACAAAAAAAAAAAAAGTCCTATGGACTTTTCCGCCCAGGTTGGCTTTGAATGAACCAGGATCTTCAAGTCTCAGTCTCCTTTATAGCTAGGATTACAGGTATGATTTGCCAGCACTCAGCTGTTACTGCTGTTTTATTGCTATTATAATCATTGTTTTTTTATGAATTGCTTTTATTTTGTAATTTCACAACTATACCAAGGGAAAATATCTTAAAACTGGAAAGACGACAATATATTTATTTTACATTTTGATAGTGCCAACTGCCTTCCAAAAACATTCAACTTTTTCTTCCATCAGAAAAAGAAATCTAAGCCAGGCGTCGGTGGCTCACGTCTACAATCCTAGCTACTCAGGAGGCTGAGATCTGAGGATCGTGATTCAAAGCCAGCCCCTGCAGGAAAGTCCCTGATACTCTTATCTCCAATAAACCACTCGAAAACCAGAAGTGGCACTGTGGCTCAAGCGATAGAGTGCTCATGTTGAGCTGAAGAGCGCAGGGAGCCCAGAGTTCAAGCCCCACAACCGACAAAAAAAAAAGAAAAAGAAAAAGAAATCTGAGCTGGGCACTGGTGGATCATGCCTGTAATTCTAGCTACTCAGGAGGCTGAGATCTGAGGAATGTGGATTGAAGCCAGCCTGGGCAGAAAAGTCTGTGAGATTCTTTTTTTTTTTTTGGGGGGGAGTCCGGTCGTGGGGGCTGAACTCTGGGCCTGAGTGCTGTCCCTCAGCTCTTCTGCTCAAGGCTAGTGCTCTACCACTTGAGCCACAGCGCCACTTCCGACTTTTTTCTTTTTGCTTATGTGGTGCTGAGGAATCGAACCCAGGGCCTCAGGCATGCAAGGCAAGCACTCTACCACTGAGCCAACTTCCTGGTCCAGTCTGTGAGATTCTTATCTCCAATAAACCACTTAGAAAAAGTTAGAAATGACATTGTGGCTCAAGTGGTAGAGTGCTAGCCTAGGGTACAAAGAGACTCACAAACAGTGTCCAGGCCCTGAATTCAAGCTCCAGGACGGAGGGGGGAAAAAAAGGAATTTGAAGCTGGGCACTGGTGGCTCAAGCCTATAATCCTAGCTACTCAGGAGGCTGAGATATGAAGATCGTGGTTCAAAGCCAGCACAGGCAGGAAAGTCTGTGAGACTTTTATCTCCAACTAACCTCCAGAAAACCAGAAGCCATTTGTTTTCAACTTTTATAAGTCTCCTGATTTTTTGTTTAATATTATCAGTTTACTAAAAACATATACAGGATAAAGTTTTGCTAACTATATAGAAAAGTATTTTTAGAATAAAGGGGTTTCTTGGTGCTGGTCCTGGGGCTTGAACTCAGGGCCTGGGTGCTGTCCTTGAGCTTTTATTTTGCTTAAGGTTAACCCTCTACCACTTTGAGCCACAGCTCCACTTCCAGCATTTTTGGTGGTTAACAGGAGATAGGAGTCGCAGGGACTTTCCTGATCAGGCTGGCTTAGGATAAAGTTTAAATAAGAACTAGGCTCACCCCTGTACTCCTAGCTAATCAGGAGGCTAAGATCTGAAGGCCATGGTTTAAAGCCAACCTAGGCAGAAAAGACTTTGAAACTCTTATCTCCAAGTAACCACCAAAAAGCCAAGAGATGGAGATGTGGTTCTAGTGGTAGAGTGCCAGCCTTGAGCAAAAAAGCTTAGGAACAATGCACAGGCCCTGAGTTCAAACCCCAGGAATGGCACGCATGCACACATACATGTGTGGATGCGCATGCACGCACACACACACATTCAAACAAGAGCTTCTCAAATGCAAACACATGAAGACAATCAGCTATTATCCATTCCATCAAAATCCAACAGAATACTCATTCAAATGAATGATAAAAATTCCCCCAATAGACTAAAAGTGAGAGATTACTTAGAACAGGTCCTTGTCAAAGTTGTCCAGCTTCATACTAACCATTCCCTCAGGATTTTTTCGAATAAAATATGAAATACAAGCTGGGAACTGGTGGCTCATGCCTTTCATCGTAGCTACTGAGAGCTGAAGACTAAAGTTTAAAACCAGCTCCAGCCCGAAAGTCCATGAGACACTTATATAAAATTGACTACCAGGGCTGGGAAGGTGGCTCAATGGTAGAGCGCTTGCCTTGCATGCATGAGGCCCTGGGTTCCATTCCTCAGCACCACATAAGCAAAAAGAAAAAAGCCAGAAGTGGCGCTGTGGCTCAAGTGGTAGAGCGCTAGCCTTGAGCTGAAGAGCTGAGGGACAGTGCCCAGGCCCAGAGTTCAGGCCCCATGACTGGACCCAAAAACAATAAAATAAAATAAAATTGACTACCAAAAAGCCTGAAATAGAGCTTGGTTCAAAGTGCTTGAACCCTAGCCTTAGGCACAAAAATTCAGGAATAGCACCTAGGCTTTGAATTCAAGCCCCAGGATTGGCACCAAAAAAAAAAAAAAAAGTGAAATACTCAACTTGACACTTCTATATTATGGTCATTGTACTATTTAAAATTTCCTCTCCTTTAATTAGCTCATCACTAAACAACCTGTCATGCTTAATTTTTAAATGTCACTGATGCTGGCAGACATCACAAGCTTTAATGACAGTTTCTATCAATCTCTCTCCCAAATACCATGAATAAAATAACATGTACATTATCACTTTACATAATTTACAGATAAAAGAACTAATATTAAAATTTTTAAGACTTTGGGGCTGGGAAGGTGGCTCAGTGGTAGAGTGCTTGCCTTGCATGCAGGAGGCCCTGGGTTCGATTCCTCAGCAACACATAAGCAAAAAGAAAAAATCCGGAAGTGGTGCTGTGGCTTAAGTGGTAGAGTGCTAGCCTTGAGCTGAAGAGCTGAGGGATAGCACCCAGGCCCAAAGTTCAGGCCCCACGACCAGACCCCAAAAAAAAAAAAATTTTTTTTTAAGACTTTTTCTCCCAAGAAAATAATCATAGAGAAAAAGTTGATCATTTTGTAATCAAGTGAGCAAAGTGAACTTACCATGTGTGGAGCGCTGATTGTTGCTTGGAAACCTGCAAAACAAGGAAAGAACTACTGACACACTCAGCTGCAAAAGCATAACAAATATTTATGTGCCCCTTTTCTAACTTCCACACATTGTTTCTCACAAAATAGTTTTTATGATCTCAAAAAAGTAAACGTTAGAGAACTGACACAGTAAAAATCAGAAAATATGACTGTGCCAAAGATGAACATGCATATCTAATAAAGCAGTTCCTTCTTTTTTTAATTAGCTAACATTAGTTGTAAAGGGGAGGGGGTCCTACTGTGACATTTCCATACATGTTATAAAGGTATTCTAATCAACTTTGCTCTTCTTGTCACTCTCCTCCATCATAGTTTCCTCTTTTTTTTGGCCGGTCCTGGGGCTTGAACTCCCAGTCTGGGTGCTTTCCCTGAGCCTCTTTGTGCTCAAGACTAGCGCTATACCACTTGAGCCACAGTGTCATTTCACAGGCTTTTTTTGAGTAGTGTTACTGGAAATAAGAGTCTCAGAGACTTTCCTGCCAAGGCTGGCTTAGAACCACAATCTTCTAATCTCATCCTCCCAAGTAGCTAGAATTACAGGTGTGGGCCATTGGGCCCAGCACATTCTTCTTTTCTACAAAAATAAAAAAACAATTTTGACTGGTTTAATTGTCCTATTTTTATATGTGCAAACAAGCCATGAGGATCATGTTCATCCTCACTCACTTTCTTAGTCCTCCTCCACTTGTACTGATGCCCTCCAACCCCTGTTCCCTATTTCTGAAAATGCCCCCTCTTGTACTGCTACCTAAGAAGATTTTTAATTTTCTTTTTAAATTTTTCCAGGCAGGTTTTCACTAAGCTGCCCAGGCTAGCCTTGAATTCACAATGATCAGTCTCAGCCTCCCAAGAAGCTATTTATATAGGTTTTGTACCATGTATATTTGGGAAGGATTTCAATAATAAAAATTTGATTTTTTACTTATTTTTTTCTTCAGTTTACAAAATTAAATAAATTTCATGTATAATATGTAGGCAAGATTTTTGTATAAAGTTTTTTTTTAATATTTCTGACAACTTAAAAAAAACTAGATAGCCAAACTAGCTGAAGAGATGAAAAACTTTTTCGCATTATCTAATGTTAACTCATGATATATTATAATGGCCTTTAGCTTTTAGTTTCTTTTCTTCCAGGGTTACTCTCTCAAAACTTATTTACCTGCTTCTGCCTCTGAAGCAGTTTTCACTGAGCGGTGGTAGCAGGTGCCTTCGGGGTTCAGAAGCTCCCCAGGATCTTCTTGCTGACTGTCACGGTGCTTCAAAAGAAGACAGCATGGCAGCTGGCCGACAGAATCCTGAGGCACTTCTAAGCCTCAAAGGCGCCCACTGCCAAGGCTCAGCCGTTCAGCAAAACCTGCTTCAGGAGGAGGAGTTAAATACGGAACTTTCTAAAAACAAATAAAAGCCAGAAAATCAGGACAAGTAAAGCAGAAAAGTCCTATCAGTTATGCTGACTTCCTTTAAGTAATGATTTTAAAAATCAATGCTAATGTGAAAAGGACACTCAACAAAAACTTGTTTTCATTTAATTAAAATAGCCTAACAATTCTTTATAATAATGCATATTCATATGCATTATTTGAAAACACAAAAAAAGATACATCATTGTATTAATATGGATATATTTGGGATTGTGAAATTTACTGAGACATAAAATTCAAATTTGTAGGATAATAATGTGTGTCTCAGTATTTTCCTTTTATGTTTTATTTCCACATGTGCATGTATGTGTATGTGTGCAGACACAGGTATGTGCAGGTTGGTACTAGGACATGAACTCAGGGACTAGGTGCTATCCCTTAGCTTTTTTGCTCAAGGCTGGCATTCTACCAATTGAGCTAGAGCAGCACTTCTGGCTTTTTGCTAGTTAATTGGAGATGAGAATCCTATAGACTTTCCTCCCTGGGCTGGCTTCAAACTGTGATCTTCAGATAGCAGCCTTTTACTAAGTAGCCAGGATTACAAGTGTTAGCCACCAGCACCTGGCCTTTTTTTTTTCTAATAAAAAAATATATAAGGTAAATAAAGAAAAGTGTGACATCTTCCAGACTATAAAGCTTACCTATTGATTGTGGAGAATCCATATAAGGGTTACATTTTGCATAGTGGGAGCGGTCAGTGGCCAGCATCACTTCAAATACTTTCTCTGTCTTGATGATTCCATTTTCTGAAATGAATGAAGCAAGTATTTCAACCAAAGAATGACATCCAGTGTATTTTATAATTATTACTATGGTTGCATTGTAGAGACTAGACTAAAAGAAAACATGATTGAAAGTCACTGCAATGGTCTGGTTAGTAGTAACTTAGTCTTTAATGATGACAGGATGGAGAAATGTAAAAGGATATGTGACATTTAGTAGACAATATATACCTGGGTAATGGGATTTGGGAATGGCAGTGGGAGTAACAATTGCAATGCAGAGGTTACTTGAGGATTTGAGAAATTCTGGACAAGGGAAACAGTTAAGGAGGTAAAGGATAAGTTATTGGTTTAATTAGGTACTATAGATCATACAAGTGAAGGTACTCAGCAATCAGACACCTAGGTAAGAGCTCAGGAAAGAGATCTAGGTTAGAAATACAGATTTTTATATAAATGTCAATTGAAATAATGTAAATTTACAGTAGCCAGGGAAGAATACATAGGGAAGAAAAAATAAAGACAACAATTAAGAGATGTACAAAAAAATTGAAGCCTTCAAAGCCACACTGGCAGGATAAAGACCTGTCAGACTCTTAAAGAGTCCAAGAGAAGTGCACTTTCAAAGAAGGAAAATAAGGCCAATAATGATACCATTTGGCTTCCCTACAATTGTTGGTTTGTTTTGTTTTTTTGCTTGAACTCCAGGCCTTGTGCTTTCAGCTTTCTTGCTCAGGGCTGGCACTCCACTACTTGAGCCATGCCTCCAGTCCAGTATTTTGCTGGCCAATTGGAGATGAGGTCTAACAGACTTTTTTGCCCAGGCTGGCTCCAAACTGCAATCCTCCAGGTCTTAACTTCCTTGACCCACTAGCACTCAACTTACAGTTAGTTCTTTAAATAAATGTAACCTAATAGCTTGGGCAGCAAAGTCCACAAGACTCCACCTCCAATTAGAAAGAATGCCTGACTAGAGGCATGGCTTAAGTGATCGGACACCAGCAGTGTGCCAAAAAGTCAAGTGAAAGTGTGAGGCCCTGAGTTCAAACCCCAGGACCAGCAGAAGGAAGGAAACCAGATAAGGAGAACATGTACTGTGTGATATAACATAAAAGAATTCTAGAAAAGCCAAAATAATAGTGGGAAAGGGCTGGCAATCGGGATGGCAGTAGAAAGAAGAGATTAGCTTTCTACAGCAGAGAGTAACCTAGCTTTGGTAAAGGGCAAAAAGTAAACATTTTAGGCTTTGTGGGCCACATAGCTGCAGCTGCAACTACTCAACCCTGCTACTGTACTACAAGAATAGCTACAAATAATATAAAGCAAAGGGTTTCTATGTCTTAGTGATGAAATCCGGCAGCAGGCCAGATCTAACCTGTGAGCTTTTTGCTGCTTAGAGTGGTAGTTACACACTATGTATGCTTGTCAAACTTCTTAAACTGCATTTTCCAAATTAGTTAAATTTATGTAAATTAGAATAGTAAAGCTGTTTTGGTTTCTTTTTGACAACTATACTCAGGGCTTCAATCATGCAAGGTAGGCAGACTACCACTGGATCCATGCTTCCAGCCCCTCCATTCTTAGTTGTTCTTGTTTGTCCGTCATGGGGTTTGAACTCAGGGCCTGGGTGCTGTCCTTGGGCTTTTTTTTTTTGCTCAAGGTTAGTGCTCTACCACCTCAGCCACACCACCACTTCCCATTCCCTGGTGGTTAAATGGACTTTTCTGCTTCGGCTGGCTTCTAACCATGATCCTCAGATCTCAGCCTCCAGAATAGCTAAGATTACAGGCATTAGCCACTGGCACCCAGCCTATTGATTATTTTTGAAGTAAGGTCTTGCTTTATATCTGTGCCAGCCTGGATTATGATATTCCTACTTGTGCTTCTCTATGCCCCACTATGCCCAGCCATTGTGTTTACCCAGAGATGAGACAACAGGACCATACCACTACACCCAACCATTGAGGTGGAGTCTCAAACTTTTTTTTTTTTGCTGCCAGTTGTGGGGCTTGAACTCTGGGCCTAAGTGCTGCCCTGAGCCTCTTTGTGTTCAAGGTTAGTGCTCTACCACTTGAGCCATAGCACCACTTCCAAGTTTTTCTGTAGTTTATTGGAGATAAGAGTCTCATGGACTTTTCTGCCTGGGCTGGCTTCAAACTGTGACCCTCAGATCTCAGCCTCCTGAGCAGCTAAGATTACAGGCATGAGCCACTAGCGTCTGGCTTCTCAAAACTTTTATGCCTGGGCTAGTCTTCATTGAAGATTCCCCAACTTCTGTCTGCCCAAAAGCTAGGATTTATAGGGGCTGGGAAGGTGGCTCAGTGGTAGAGCGCTTGCCTTGCATGCATGAGGCCCTGGGTTCAAGTCCCAGCACCACATAAGCAAAAAGAAAAAAGCTGGAAGTGGTGCTGTGGCTCAAGTGGTAGAGTGCTAGCCTTGCTGAAGAGCTGAGGGACAGTGCCCAGGCCCAGAGTTCAGGCTCCACGACCGGGACCCAAAAAAAAAAAAGCTAGGATTATAGGCTTGAGCCATTACACTTAACTCCTAAAGCTTATTTTTTTAAGTATAAGCCAAAGATCTTATTCCCAGCCAAGCTCTCTTTCAAATATCAAAGATACAGGGGAAAATAATGTTTGAATGTGCAAGAACTCAGAGAACACTGCATACATAAGTCCTTCTTGAGGTCGCATCTAGAGGGCAGGCTTTATGTAAACAAGAGATGAGCAGGACACAGAAAATAAAGATCCAGTTACAGAGCAAATATTTAATATGAGTAGAAAAATGCAACTAGAAACAACAGGAAAAAGAAAAAGGGCAGAATGTAGAAGGAGATTGCTAGCTTTTGTAGAGGTAATAGGAGGAATCAAAGGGTAGTATTTAATACTGATAGACCACATTGTAAAAGTCAAGAATAAGGTGAATTTGGAACACTATAAAAGGTAAAAATAAACCTCTCAACAACAACAACAAAAGGATTTAAAATAGTCATAGACTAGCAAAGATAAACTTACATGCTCTTTCCATTTTAAAATATAATTTTGGATACATTAACCCAAATAGAAAATTATTTCTACACATGGAAACTTTGATTATTTAAGCAGTTATTAAACCTAAACAGTGGAAATATTTTTTGAAGTTTAAAAGCAGAGAAACAATAATACAGATAACATTTACTTAGTATGTAGTCCTAAGCACTCTACACAAACAATCTGTTAGGATATAAACTAAAAATAGTCTTAAGTTGTCTCTACCCAGCCTAAAAAGCAGGCACTATTATTTATTTTACTTTACAGATTACAAAGCTGAAGTTACACACCAGTGGATTTAGTAGTTCAAGATCACAGAATAAAGGCTAGAGACACAAACTGAGAGACACTTAAACTGACACTTAAACTCACTCCTAACCATTTTACTACTAATACTAACATTTTCAAATGGCTTACTGAACTCTATTAATTTGTTTCCCAAAATAATTTTTTGAGTGGTTCATTTGCCCTGACACCAATTCAAATTCCACAGGGCTGACTCATATGCTCTCAAGGCCACAAGAGGCCTTAGAACCCATCAAGTCATAACTTCTTCATAAATTGGTACTATGCACTCTACTGAAAGAGTTGCACTAATATGGTTCATTTTAGCTCCAAAAACAGTCCTTTCCATATTCAGACCCTGGAGATTAGCGAAAACGTCCCTGTGTTAAAATAAAATGAATCTCTTTTTTGTTGTTGTTGTTAAAAAAGAGTCTCACACAAATGCTGGAAGGGATGCGGAGAAAGAGGAACCCTATTACACTGCTGGTGGGAATGTACACTTATACAACCACTTTGGAAAGCAGTCTGGAGGGTCCTCAGAAAACTAAATATTGACCTTCCTTAGGACCCAGTCATACCACTTCTAGGCATCTATCCTGAACAACAGGAACCAGTATACAAGGACACATGCACCTCCATGTTTATTGCAGCACTGTTCACAATAGCCAGGATATGGAAACAACCCAGATGCCCCACCACAGATGAATGGATCCAAAAATTGTGGCATCTATACACAATGGAATATTATGCAGCCATTAGAAAGGACAAAATAATGGCATTTGCAGGGAAATGGATGGAGCTAGAAGAAATCATGTTGAGCGAGGTAAGCCAAGTACAAAGAGACAAAACAGCACATGGTCTCCCTGATAAGTGGATGTTAAATCCAAAATGTTAGGTGATATGACAAAATTAACAAGACTTAAGAAACAAAGGACTTCCACTCATCTGGGTCAAATCACTACTAAATAACCACATGCTGCCGATCACATGTATGGTATATATGTGTACACCTGAGGGAAACCAGGAGGATGACACAGAACTAGAGGGAATCAGGGGAAAACATACACCAGCGGAACCATCAGCTGCACTGGACATTGACCAAAATGAACTAAGCAACTCAATAGCAGCGATGGGAGGGAGGGAACAAGTGGGAAAGAGGGAACAGCTGATGCTATGCAAAATGAAAGAAATGTACATATCACCCAATGTGGAAGAAATAACTATCCCAAAGCTCATAGAACTCATAAATGTTATAGACCATGATAGACAATTTGCCCATGAAGGTTACAATGTGTTTGCGACTTTAACTAAGCATCACTATCCCACAATACTGTGAAATTTGGGAAATTATGTAAGCACTTAGTCACAATAAAAAATTTGAAAAAAAGAAAAAAAAGAGTCTCACAGACTTTCCTGGCAGGGCTGGCTTTGAACCCCAATCCTCAGATCTCAGCCTCCTGGGTTGCTAGGATTACAGGTGTGAGCCACTGGCACCCTACCTCTTTTTTTTTTTTTTTTTTTTACTATCTATTCACTTGGTACTTAAATGTTGCTCCTTAGAGCCTTTGGGGTGGGGGGAAGGTGAATTATCCAACCCATCTTTTTTTGTTTGGGTTTGTTTGTTTTGTCAGCTGGTCGTGGGGCTTGAACTTAGGGCCTGGGTGCTGTCCCTCAGCTATTCAGCTCAAGGCAAGCACCCTACCACTTGAGCCACAGTGCCACTTCTGGTTTTCTGAGTTAATTGGAGATAAAGAGTCTCATGGACTTTCCTGCTTGGGCTGGCTTTGAACCATGATCCTCA